ACCGTCCAGTAAAAACTTGGATCACAATACAAATGTACATAAAAAAACCTAACCGTTTTTACATGCAACCTATGGGCAGTAATTTCGCTTACTTGTTTTTATATACTGTTCACCGGTGGCCGTTTTATATAGGTTTTACTGTATATTATAAGCGTGATAGTATATTTTTAATCAAGATACCTGCATAAATAGAGGGTGTGTCATCAGATCAGGGGCGGTAACAATCATTTAAATTTCTTATCATGCAACGGAGGCCAGGGTAAGGGGTAAATATAGTGAATTGGTATTATGTATAAGAATTAATATCATGTACGCCATGGTACGAAAAATGAGGCTCTCGTAAGCGCTCGTTCCCAGCCAAAGTCCGAAATGTCCAACATAAGCGAATTATCAATGGCTTAAATGTTAACTCTTGGAGCATGTAGTCTATCCCATCATCAAAGTATAAAATTCTGTAAACAAAAGAACAGGTTTAGGATATTAGTTTAAATTAAAAATGTTGAACATCCGTGTTAGTATAAGTAATGGTTAGTTTGCGAGCGCATTGTGCGATTTGTTTTTAACGAGGTGCAGCTAGTAAGCGCAGGCAAAATTTCTAGAATCAGTGCATGTTAAGCGAGCCGGAAGTAAAATGTTAGTTGTCAGTTTTTTTAGGGTTATTGGCGAGCCAAATTAACTTCCTGCAACAATAACAACACATATAAAAATATGGCGACCGGAAGTGAATGCAATGAGGTCAAAAGATAAATTCAATGACAAAACACGATCTCAAAATGTCTTTTTTTTAAGATCTGCAGACAACCTTCAGTTCAATTAGTCATGGCTTTAAACACTCGATGATCGTGGAAATGGCATTTATAATTTATTGTAGCTATATTTAACCTGGGTGTCCATCGCGCATGCTCATTCGGAAGACATCAAGCTTTTGAATTCTGCAAGGAAAAATACACATTTAATTCATTCAGTAAGAAGAACTTGACTTTTTCATTCATAAATAGTATTCATTTTAGAGGCATTAAGTAACTAACGAGCTCCCTTTAAGACACGTTTAATTTTTACGTTAATCAATGAATTTGAATGAAAATCACGTGTGCAAGTAAATTAATCAATTTAGAAAATATTATTTTTTCAATCTTATAAATTATTTGATGCATTATTTAAACTGACACGATATGAGTCGGCAAGGCTGATAAGTACGTATTCCAGCCTTTACAGCGGCCATATATACCAAGAAAGGAGAATATATTTTCATTCATGATAACAGTCTTTAAAAGGGTATGAAAATCACACAGGGTGGGTTAACATTTGAATAAATACCCGGAGAGTATATATATAGAATTCAGTAACTATTTTACATGGGAACTATTTCACGGCATCAAAATTTTAGAAACCAGAGCGGTTTCAATAACCATATCCACTCACCTGAAAATTTTCTTATTTATAAAAAAATAACACAATTTATTGTAAGACTTGTTACGTGTAAAGTAAAGTAAAGATAATTGCTCCCTTAATGTGAAACTAATTTAAGATTACTTCACGTTTGTAACGTGAATTTCCATTGGACAACAGTGACGTTTATATTTTCTATATCGTATCAAAACGAAGATAACTGATTAACTGGGTGACTGATACGTCAGTTTTTATTGAACAGTTCTGAATTACCTTGCTTCTAATTCTAAGTTTGATTATGGTGTTTTGTAGCGTAGTTTCTTACAATTACATTGCGTCACTACGCAGAAAAGTTTTGCTATTTTACCGAACTTTGAAATAGTTTTAATTGCCTTAAAAGTTTGAAACAATTTTAAATAGGTCATGTATGTTTTGTTAAGAACCGATGAGGGGCTTTTAAGATAATCTGTTAAATTGCTTTATTATAGGTATCTGTCTGAGACATACAGTAAAGAATTTATCATAAAATGCTCAAAAGAATTAGTTGACCAATTTTATTTTAAAAAGCGCGGAAGCGGAGCTGGCAGGAGGAAAGACGTCGGAAGTAAGTGATCACAAATTCTCACCAAGAGAATATCGTACTCTGGTGAACTAAAGGCAAGGGAAATTCATACTTGTAAATAAACCAAATACAGTACATTGTGTGACAGCGGACGTGGATATGGTGTTTATAAATGATACATATATTTACATAAAAAGTTTTTCAATGCCAAACATTTACAATATTGTTACTTTAGCGTTCTCTAAATGACATTGTTCAACTAAACATGTTTATAATTATGGTGCCTTTACAACATCTTCCGGTTAAATAAAAAGGAACATTTGCTTCCTTTTACTAGACAAATCCCTAATCTGATTTAAAATTATGTTCATTTATATGCATGCTAACTTGTTATTTAATATAATTAACATTCAAAGAGAACAACGAGTTTACTCTACAATATTTCTCGTATACATGTATGTACAGTGCTAACTTCCGGTTAAATATAACTAACTTCCGGTTAAACATATTTTCAAACATATTATCTGTGAACGACAGTAGAGTGTATTCTACGTTGAATTGACATAACAGATACAGAAAGCAAATATAATTAAAAGGTATGACAAAAAAAAAATCGCCATTTGATATCTTAATTATTCTAAACAGTCATAAACAGTCCCTGCAGACCTTTCTCCTCTTAGAAACGGTAAATGTCGGTAAATAAACGGTAAATATCGGTAAATCAGAAACAAGAGAAAGATTAAACATATTTACAACAACATTTTACACTGAGCTATGCAAAGCATTACGAACAACATTCACTACCGTAACAAATTTTCGCAGTAATTCCAAGCCTCTCTTTCAAGAGAACTTCCGGTTCGAAAGGAAGAGAAAGAAAGACAACTCTGCAATATTCCGAATATAATATTTGAGATAAAAAGAAATGTATTCTTACCTTCATAATCTACAGTTCCACTTCCATCTGTGTCAGTTTCTGCTATCATATCATCTATTTCTTCTTCTGTAATATCATCACCTGATAAAACGAAAAGAAAATACAGTTTTATTAAAAAGAATTCTTGCAATGTCAACCAGTTACAACATAGGAGACAATGGAATCTTAGCCAATCAGAAGATGTATAACATACGGTGTACGGCATTAATTTTTGTTAATTTAAACGTGTCTAGTTTTGTTTCGCTGCTTATATATTATGGGAATTAGGAACAAGAGTTTCCCTGTATTACAGAAATATGTTTCAACAATTATTAGTCTCTGGCTACTAATGCATGTTTGTCACTTGATAATATACGTACATGTAACAAGAAGCAAATTACCTAAAATCATCACATGCGCTTATAAAGATCAAAGAATGCCAAAGAAGATCTAATCCTTTCAGTATTTTATTCCAAGATAGTTTTAAACTTCTTTCTCGTATCTCCATATGCATACATAGCAGTTTTGGAATCTTAAATTCTTTATTGTGTGCCATTGATCCATGCACCGTACAGACTCAACCATTTCAATGAGAGAAGATAGTTTAGATCGTGATCACTTTAATGGAATTAGAATAACATGTAGCGGAAATTACAAGTAACATTCTGACTTATTATAACATATTAGTCCGAAATAATCTCAAAGTTGAAGAAGGCCGTTTTAACCTGTTTTTTTTTGTGTTTGTTGTTGTTATTGTTGTTGTTGTTTTGTTTTTGTTTTTTTGTTGTTTTTTTTTTTGGAGGGGGGGGGTACAGTGGTGTAAATACCAAGACACCATATTGTTCCTAACCGATGTATATTCTTATCCTACCAAGGACACACTTTAAATTATGTTATTACCATTTTTGCACTTATTAACCTCGAAAGTTACAGTGTAGCATTTACCATGCCACTTAGAATGAATTACAAAACAAACTCTATTGTAAATAATAACATTAAAAACGTATTCCCACACGCATTACCCACCTAAACTTTTTAAAATCCATCTTAAGTCAGATACAGGAATAACTCCTTTCTTTTGACTGTCCAATACACGGAAAGCTTCTTTTAATTCCTTTTCTTCTTCATCTTCCTTTAATTTACGCTCGAACAAAACTTTGAATTTTTCCCATGTTATCAATCCAGTTGCTGAAAAGAAGAAACAATGCACTGTGTGAAAAAGCATAACATCTAATTTCAGAATTATTTTATTTGTTCTTTTAGCATTCATTGACAAAATGGTACAGTAATTAATAAAGATCTGTGGTATATAGAATAGGGCTGTGCAATATCTTGCTATATACTGTGTTGGATATCGCAGTATTGTATCTCGCAATAATGTATTGAAATTCGTTTTCAGATATCCCAGGTATATTCAAATAAAAGCATAAAACTAGGAGTTATATATAGCTTGTACATATATGGCATTTGAATAAGGTTGTTTAACTCCTTCATTTACAATGCATTTTTTTAACAAAAGAGCGAAATCTTTAATAAAATGGCCTCTCGTGTTCGATCCACGATTCATTAGGATATCATATAATATTCTAATTAAACTATAAACTCTTACTAATAAGTCATTTTTGTAGGTCTTCCCTTTGATTTTGAAGCAATTTAGATAATTCACAATATACCGCAATGTATTGCAATAAGTTTGCAAATATTGCAGTTTATAGCAAAATGTTTTTTCCCTTGCAATACCTAGCCCTAATATGAAGGTTATTAGGTTGAATGGCTTGTTTTGAGTTTTATAGAAACATGCCGTATATTAGTTATTTGAGCCGTGTCACGACAAAACCAACATAATGGGTTTGCGACTTAAACCTTTTAACAAGTAGAGAAACTGATAGCGAACAGCATGGATCCTGATCAGACTGCGCGGATGCGCAGGCTGGTCTGGATCCATGCTGGTCGCAAACCCATTATGTTGGTTTTGTCGTGACACGGCTCATTTTTATTCTACTTTTCAACAATCACTACTTACTAATTTTTCACTTTGAAATAAAAAAAACTATTTACCATCTTCGTCCATTTCATCAGCCCAGTCTTTCAGTTTTTCATCATCAATATGTAAAGCCATTGCCTTAAATAACTGGTCGAGATCTTTAGTAGCTACCTCCTCGCTGCCCTTTTTAACATACAGATGGAATGTTGACTTCGCATCTACAAAAATAAAGCAATAAAAAAGTTGGTGTTGTTCGTTCGTTCGTTCGTTTTTCATAAAAAAATGCTCACAATACAAAAATTTCATCGATGAAAACTAGTTTTTACTAGATTTATCCGAAATTATGAAAACAGATGTGTTTTTTATATAAACGCTTATAAAAACAATGGATAATAAAGTTTCTGGATCTAGTACTATTGACCGATAGTTCCTTCTTAAATATAGGTGTATTACCATTTGTCCTTTATTTAACTGAATTAGTTTAACAAAATATACTTATAACAAAATATTTGTGTTGTGTTTTCAACTACATGTGTAATCCTTGTATTCATATGTTTTTAGTGATAAGTGTTTCTAATGTATGAATTGTAACTGACATTTAAAGGTTTTAAACGTGGGTGTTCTTATTATTGCAGGTAATATGTTCACTGTTGCAGCGTTTGTGTTGTATTCCACATAAGTATTATATACAGCTTATGTGAAAAAGTATGCTACATTTTAAAGGCTCATTAAGCCTCCGAAAGGCTTCCTTTTTTATTTCTCAAAAAGTGTTATCCTTGGCCATCTTTTTGCTCTTTGGCAATTGGTATAATTACAGTGATTTAGTATTTTGTATGTTGAAACCTTTACGACAATTGACTGCAAGTTCAGTACTACTTTCTCCAGTTGTTTAACATCTAACATTATCTAAATCTATCAATAAGATATTATTTTACACATGTTTGACCTTTCTAAAGAATTAAGATAAAGATTTTTGAGGCTTGATGTGTCTTTAATGAGTTTCGGGCAGCACAGAGAGCGTCAAGAATGAAACACATTCTCACTCGGCAGAAACTGAATAAATTTAGATATTAATCCGCTGACGGCAAGCTTGGTGTGTTGCTTAACGATCACCATTTGTGGCGGGTGGTTAACGCGTCCGACTAGAAATCTACGTATTGCTGGCTGCAGGGTTTCAAAGCCAGTCAGGGGGCAGGTCATTGTTTCCGTGAGCAAGAAATTTTACACTCATTGCTAAGTACTGGTTAGTTCCAGGAACGGATTCGTGGGTGTTTCAATAAGCTTATAGCTTCCAAGATTCTCGAACTAAAATAAATTTGTATAAAAGTAAAACTTATTAGTAAAACTTATTAGTAACGCTGTCTTGTGAGTTTAAAAATGGCCATATAACTTAACCATCTTGGGCTTCTTAAGAACAGTTACAGTGATTGAGTATTTTTGTAATGAAGCCAAAATACTTTGTTTACATTTTGCTATTTATATATAACAAGTTCTTTAATATTCAATGTTATTTCATTCAGGTAATAGACATCTCATTTCTTCTAAATCCTTCATTACACCCTTATTAAAACACGTAGTTGCCCCATTTTACTGAAAGAAAAAATTATTTATTTCTGAGGCTGAATGTGCCTTTAAAATTAGAAAATTGTACAATGTGTATGATTAAAAGCAGGATATTTCTTTCTTATCACACGCATTGCTTGAAATAATACGCGTAACGCACACACTACGGATTCACCGAAATCAAACCCGGTGCTATTATCTCTACATTTGAGCCGTGTCACGACAAAACCAACGTTATGCGTTTGCGACCAGCATGGGTCCAGACCAGCCTGCGCATCCGCGCAGTCTGATCAGGATCCATGCTGTTCGCTATCAGTTCCTCTACTTGTAACAGGGTTTGTAAGCGAACAGCATGGATCCTGATCAGACTGCGCGGATGCGCAGGCTGGTCTGGATCCATGCTGGTCGCTAACGCATTACGTTGGTTTTGTCGTGACGCGGCTCATTTATTTTTATAACATTATTTTTTCTATTTCCTCAATTTTTTTATTACAGATAGGACAGGCTGTTTGGTACACATGGTTCTAAAGTTATAAACAGAGGGAAATATTTATCATCATATTTTAAGATATTAGGAGAAAAAATTTTGAAATTCTAGAGATTTTATCACATCATCACCAGGTGTGTTATAACTGATTAGTTGGTGTTCCATAAATAACAGAAGTTACTATTTTTGATATAGACGTCTAAGCCAGACTACAAATGAGCCGCGTCACGACAAAACCAACATAGTGGGTTTGCGACCAGCATGGATCCAGACCAGCCTGCGCATCCACGCAGTCTGATCAGGATCCATGCTGTTTGCTATCAGTTTCTCTACTTGCTATAGGGTTTGTAAGCGAACAGCATGGATCCTGATCAGACTGCGCGGATGCTGTGTTGGTTTTGTCGTGACGCGGCTCAAATCGCTCGAAACATCCACACTTTTATCGAAAATATAGCCCTAAACAACCAGATATTTGATTGGTTTTGTACATGTATTTTGATATTTATGCCCGCTGTTATAAATCGGGTGCTTTTTTAAGCCTCATTATGCTTCAATAATGAATATTTGGTTTCCTCCTTTAAGGCACATCATTTCCCATGAAACGAATCAAGTTTTACTTAGAATGGGCTAACATGAGTTTTATACTTTAAAATATGGTCTAAAAGCATGTGGAATACATGTACTTTTTACCTGAAGAGAGAAGCACTGACAGTAAAATTATTTGTCATAAACGTGGCAAACTGTAGCAAAGTAGTAATTTGTCTTCCATACAACAAACCCACACAACTAAATTACTATAAATGTACTAATAGCAAAAAGCAACAAAAGCAAAAGATAGTACAGGTTATTAGCCAATGAGAAACCCTTTTGGAAACTTTAAGAGGACATCAAACATAAACAGAGAAATAAAAATAAAAGCATTTCTGGAGCAGAATTGCCATTCAGAAAGGGCAAACGTGAATTTTATAATGTTTAAATGAGCCGCGTCACGACAAAACCAACATAATAGGTTTGCGACCAGCATGGATCCAGACCAGCCTGCGCTTCCGCGCAGTCTGATCAGGATCCATGCTGTTCGCTTACAAACCCTATAACAAGTAGAGAAACTGATAGCGAACAGCATGGATCCTGATCAGACTGCCCGGATGCGCAGGCTGGTCTGGATCCATGCTGGTCGGAAACACATTATGTTGGTTTAGTCGTGACGCAGCTCAAATTAAGATTGTGAGCTCTTTAGATATTTATCCGCTGAAGAAAGTAGCGCTGAATGTAAAATTATTTTTCATAAAAGTAGCACAAGGTCAACAAAGTAGTTATTTGAATTCTATGTCAAATACTTAATAATTGTAATAATTGCCAAAAAGCAGCAGATGTAAAAGATGGTCGAGGCTTTTAGCCAATGAATAACTTTCTGAAATTAAATCAGAACAGTAAAAATAAAAAGCTTTTGATGAATAAAAACAAAAGCATTTATGAAGCATAATGGGTCTTTAATCAAAGTTTTTCCCTTACCCTTCTTGAAAAGCTTCTTTATACTTGATATACAGGATATTATATAGCATTTCAAAAATCTGAATAGTTAAAAAATATGATTAATTAATTAATTGACTGTTTGTTAATTGTGATTATTGTATTGATAAGATACAAGACCATTTTTGTTTCTCCACAAAAATCACTCAACTTGTCCGCAAATTTAAAAAAAAAAAGAAGAAGAAAAAACGATAATTATTAAATTTTGTTAATTTTATCATTTCTTTGTGTAACCACTTATTTATTTATTTTACATACTTTTCATTGTCTATTTATATGCTAGATTTACAGAATTTATCTTTCTTAAAATAAATTTCGTCTAAACTGATTCTATTAACCACGTTCAGTTTATAGCACATCTCTGCCATTTCTAACATCTTCAAACAATATTTCCAGATAGTAAACACGGTGCTTAATCTAAAGCAATTACCTACAAAAATCATAATATATTATAGTAGATGTTGCCATGACAACGCACGAGAGATCGCGCGTGCCAGGTACATAATGTTTTCTGCTATTATCTTGTTAGACTACTTTATACAACACTCTTTCTGGAAATATTATAAACCTCATATCTTGCCTTATATCTTACTGAATCAACAAAAGCAAGATTTCGCAGAACTGTTTAGTAAAGATATTGAAAAATTACAAAAACTTCATTTTCAGCAGGTGGTCGCCATATTTGGAATGCCGAATTCTTCGGCACATCCTACAATATCTACAATGAGGTTCGAAATGGGTTTAAACGAGTTTTACCTTAGAATTTCAAATAAATCTGTCCGGAATATTGGAGAATGATATTTATTGGATCGTTCAATGTAGACATAAGAAAATATAAGTAAGCGTTTTGACCGAACGTACGTGCATATGGTACACAAACAGCTGCAAGTAAACAAACAATATCCGTCTTCTATAATTAACAACAGATATGCACCAGAGATGTCAAGTTGAGATCGAACAGATGTTCGTAATCTTTTGCAACGTTTACACGTTTATTACACACACTTTCCCGTGTAATTACTTACGAATGCTCAGGTAGACATAGCCTAAATATAACTCTATTATTTGCTGAAAACGTAGCAAAAAACGTTTCTTTCACCCACATATATATGTATTGTTTACCTTAAATTGTAGAAGTACAGAAATTGTATAATACGATAACATAGTTCTTGATATATCCTGCGCTATTTTACTTTACAGAAAAATAAATTTTATAACATGTTATTCCTTGACAAATCAAAAAAGTATTATAAATCGCGAGATAAAGTTATATATCTCCGGATTTCTGCAATCATCTCTAGACTGAAAGTTCGCCAAAAATGCATTATAACAACTTTGATGAAAATGTATTTAAAGTAGGGAGTGAGTCATTAAGTAAGGACGGGATTTTGAGAATGAATCAGATTAGTATAAAAAGGAAGGAGAGATGTTCCAGAAAATTCTTCAGTAAAAAAGAGTGTACTGCTCTAGTGACGATGCAGATTTCAAGTACATGTATATAAATGATATCTTAATTTTTCAACAAAAAATTGAATAAAACAAAAAGAATTCTTACCTGTAAATTGCTTATCTGTAACTTTAAAATCCGTCTGCAAAACAGAAGTTCGCCTATTAGACATTGTTAAAGTTCAATATATGCAACAACGCTTGAACGAAACTCATATAATTTCTACCTTAAACACTTCTATCAGTAATCAGTAACTTTATCAGAAATTCACACAAAAAACTATTAACGAGAAAACCATTTCCTTCTATTATGAAATGCCAACATTTTTAATGTATTAAACAGGTACACGCCAATGGATTAAGTCAATGTAGAGAATTCGGCCATACGTCAATCACACTTTGCCTAGAATAAGCCAATAAATGCTATTCGGATTGAACTACATTATAAAACTTACCATTTTTTCTAGTTTAGTTAAATTTCCACTTTCCTCTTAGTACCCCGTAATTTCTTTCACCCGGAATTTCAATACTGCGCACGCGCGAACTATTCTGAGACAAGCGTTTGAGTGCCAAGATTGCAGAAAAAAAGTTCGGTAATACAAATGATTACCTAGCGGATGAACCGAGAAGTTGTTTTATCTGATGATGATGCTATAGATAAGTCATGGATCTACTTTCAATGGTCATTTTAATTGGCATATTAATACGGAATATGTGTCAGATCTCCGTGAACAGAATTTATCTTATCATATTTTTTTTTGTTGCTGTTGTTATTTTCTTTATAAAGAAACAAACAAAAAATTACATACAACGACAAAAAAAATTATAAATTATCTGTTTCAATATTTTTCGCGTGGTGCTGTTATAACACTGTTTAATTCGTTTCTGATTCGTTTAACTATTCCATGCCATTTTTAATGCTATGCACTGGATATACATATGTATGCACTTTCGGTTTTCAATCATTTTTTTTACTGATAAACTGCTTGAAAGTGCGGGTTATTTAGATATGTTTATTTAGGTAACGACAGTTCAATATCATCTACTGGTATCGATACCCTTCGGGATTGGTTTCAAAATACAATGTATACATGTATGCAAAGCTAAATGTTACAGTATAAAATTTGGGAAAATAAATTCCAGAAATCATATTTCCTGAGGACGTCTCATAAATATCTTCAGATTCTTTTTTATCTTTCATTAATCAACATGCATCCATGTTCTAAATACAGAACAGCGAGATACGCATCTGGTCGGATATTTGGATTATAATATATATTAATCTAAAAGCTGATAAGCCCGAAATAGAAAAAAATCCAGATAGCCAATTAATGAGATAATCATACACAGCTGTTTATCTAGTAAACAAATCATGCAAATTATCGATTATTGTCCGAACTATGAATAAGCCAGTTTCCCAAATATTTATATATGTATACATGTAAAAGATACATGTCATGTATTCTTAAAGGGACTCCACTGAGGTTTTTTGACATGATGGGACTGAAAATATTTTTTGAGATAAAAGTACCATTTGATTTAGGTTTAGAACACTAATCTTTGTGCAAAATTTTAGATCATTTGCGCACTTCGTCTTTCCAGAATAATTATTTAAATTGTAAAACATGACCCAAAATGAAAGCGTTTAAACGCTTTTCACTCAAAATGGGCTAAGAAAAGCATAAAAATACGATTTTTAATTTATTTTAAAAATTATTTCTTAACTATCTTTGCATATAGTTTTGTTTAAAGTGCCTCAGCTCATTTATGTAGGAAATTAAAATGTTATGTTTTAAGGCTTTTTAACCTCAGTGGAGTCCCTTTAAGGGAGATAACCGATAACGAAATATCCTGACTTCTGCCATTGTCAAGTTGAGCTGAATTGGCTATATATTTCAAAAAATTGACTGTTAAAATGGTGACTGACCAACATTTGATTACTGGAAAACGTTTCGGATACAATATAAAACTGCCTAAAATATAAAAAAAAACTAAACGTTACGGATAAATTCGTATGGATATTTACTGAAATATCCTTGAGAAATACAAGTAATTTACTGTTCATGCAAGTAAATTATAAAATTGAAAGGAATTTTGGCAAGTATTCACCTATTCACTTTGATGGGTATACTGTCACTTTAGTCAATTGTTAATACAGTTTTTTACTATATGTTAGGAAGAAAGTCAAACAGTTATTACCAAATTATTGATTAATAAATGTTTAAAAATCTGGAAACAAAATGATCCCTCGGAAGCATTAATCACAACAAAATCACATGGAAATTGCAGACTCGGTTTGACTGAGTCTGTACATGAGGGATAATGAATAATTACAACATCCCTCACGCCCCTAGCACCGACTTGAGCGGTACTCACTTAAAGTCACACGAGTATAGATTTTTTTCCTTATATTGATGTATTTCAAAAGCAGCTAATGTACTTATAAATGTTTTAAACGATAAAAATACTGTAAACATTAATTGACAGAACTATAATTCGCTGAAAATTAAACTCAGACTTGTGAAACCAAATGACATGGCATGACAGGACAGGACATGATAGGATAGGATAGGATAGGATATGAAAGGATAAGATAGGTCAGGAAAGGATAGGATAGGACACCATAGGATAGGACATGACAGCAAAGGATAGGATAGGAAAGGAACGGACAGGATAGGATATGATAGGATAGGATCGGAAAGTATAGGATATGATATGATAGGAAAGGGTAGGATAGGATAGGATAGGATAGGATAGGATAGGATAGGATAGGACAGGACAGGACAGGACAGGACAGGACAGGACAGGACATGATAGGATAGGATGATATATCAAGACTTAATAAACTACATGCGTTCCAAATTGTTAGATCAAATCATTTTTATAGGTAAACAATAATGTTACACAATTGTTTTATTAAAAGTTGTCTCTCTTGCTTCACACCTACAATGTAAAGTACTCACATTCATTTTCAAATAAATACACATGTAGTACGTGCAATGGCTCAGTTTATTTGTATAAGGTGAATAATTATTTTATTTTAAATAAACTTGGTCTGAATCAAATTGTGTTATGGTATATTTGTTAAAATATTTGTAAATGAATATTGTATAAATGATATTTAATATCTTAAAGGAGCGTTTGTCAAAAAGAAATTTAAAGGGCAAAAATCTTTATAGAATAGTTGTTACTGTTTTATGATGTTTGAAAAAAAACATGTGTTTGTGTTTCCATATATTGTTTAGAAGCCCTTAAATAAAATTAAGATATGTCATTTGTTTTCTACGATGGTACCTTCATGTGTTACCTTCTTCAAATAAAGATATTATTATTTTTATTATTATTATTATTATTATTATTATTATTATTATTATTATTATTATTTGCTATGCTATATACTCTGATATGCTATGCTATAATTTTAGTTTTAATTTTTTGCTATAGCTATTATTCATCCGAAGTATTCATGATACCCCATTCACATTATATGTTTTAACAAGGTCATCAACTTAATAAGGAAAAAATAAATTATATAGCAGAGCCTGTAGTACAACCAAGTCAAGGGAAATTGTAAAAGTTCTCTTCGTTGATAGATAGTAAGGGAATGGTGGCTTAGTGATTGTGCTGTCTGCTATCTACCCGGAGAGCGTTTGTTCGAGTCTCTACTCGGAACTTCATGGCACACCAGCAGTACCCGATTGCTTCAGGAAGCATTCCCGGAAGTGTTTATATAACTTGCAAGAACTTGTTTCACAATCGATTTTAAATAAATATGTTTAAACTAAACTGAATTTTACTTGCAAACAGTCAAGTTTAATAAAAATGCATGGATTTTCAAAATCGTCACCGGAAAAAATAGTATTGCATTATAATTAATGAATGAGGTAATACAATTACTTTTTAGATGATAAGTGTTTTATTTTAAAGGGATTCCGCTGAGATTTCTATATAGACATGCTGGGACTGGAAATAATTTTTCGAGATTAATGTTCCATTTGATGTAAGACTAGTGCGAAATTCAGATTATTTCTTCACTCCGTTTTTCCAGAATAATCGTTCTAATTATTAAAAAAAGACGCCAAACTGAAAAACCGTTGCAACGCTTTTCACTCAAATCGGACTATGAATAGCACGTTTTCAATTTATTTTGTAGTATCTTTCTCAATCATCTTCTGCACATCTTTCTATTTTAGCTTATCTATGTACGTAAGAAATTCTTTCTATTTTAGCTAATCTATGTAAGAAATTCCAATTTGATGTTTCTGTGCTTTTGGACCTCAGTGGAGTTCCTTTAATGGAATGATCGATCTTGATCTAACTGCATGTTTAACAAATACAAACTGCTATTCTAAACTAAAGTGGAATTATGAAGCGAAATTAATTTTTCTAGAACATTTCATTCATATAGATCTACGTATATCTAGAAATGATCAAATCAATAATAATTTTGAATTATTGAAACGCAATCCATATGATTCACGTTGATTCAATCAACAATGAGGTTACACTGTGATTCAGTCAACAATGAGCTGTGTAAAATCAATCAAAATTAGAACCATTAAAGAATGGATATGTACAAACTTGAATCATACGAGATTGAAAATCACATTGTTTTTCGATATTGTATTGAATTTTAAAAAAGATCTTTGTTTGCTAAAATCCCATCAGCGTTAGGTGTTAAACAAACATAATTCCTCGCGACAGGCACGACAAGAGCGGTGGTTTCCGCCGTTTTCATTTCATCTCTTAGAATCTTGGTTTTAGCCATATCCGGAAGTGCGAATACGCGAAAGGATCTGTTAATGTTCGGGAAGGTTAATAGTTGGTTGTTAGCTTTGAAAAAAAATGAGTTGAGATAAATTTCATTATGGATAAAGTATAACTTAAAGAGCTGGACAGTAAACTTTTTTTTTATTTTGAATAACATGCAGTTTACATCATGACGCCGTTTTCATATTGTATGGTAACAGAGTTCCAGCAAAGATTCAGGGTGCCATTACTTCATGTTTTAATTGTCTTCTTGTTGAAAGGTAAGATCAAAATGTCGTCTGTTTGTTTTCTTTTTCATTAATTTGTTATTTATCATTAACTACGTGTTATATATCTGGGAAGGGCTTAATCTAATGTTGCTAGAACGTGTTTTTTTTCCTTTTACCGATTTGTTTACCTCGATGTTAATTTGCATAACAATTTTTGTAGACTGGTTTTAATGTTTTCAAGCTTTAAAAGACATTTATTAACTTCAATTTGAAACGCACATATAGATGCCGCCAGCAGTCATTTTCATCACTGTGGAGATGCCTGGTGACCCTCTCAAATGAATGCTGGCGGCATCCATTTTTGCGTATTAAATTGAAGTTCATGACTCTCATTTATAGCCACCAGTCTACCAAAACTGTTATGCGCATGCTCCGCTTCAAAATACGACTTTACTTAAACGAAATATTATATTTAGTATTATATTATGGCAAACACTTTATCATTTAAGGGTATGTGAACGCAGCTACCACTGATTCCACATTAAACAGCGAGGTAAGATATACATACATGATTGTGTTGTTTATTATAATAATTCTATACCTTTTCTAATCATCGATTACAGTATATTAAAATGGACATCATCTTTTAAATTCGTTAAATATCGATTCATGAAATATAATAATAAATGGCTTTTCCGTTTTCGAAATCTGCACAGCTCGTATTTTAACCATGTAACCCGTGGGCGGATCCATGTCGAGGTGGTCACAAATGAGTAACGGATATTCCAGACGGATGGGGGTATACATTTGGCATTTTAAATACTATTGAACTAATATTTCAGTGTTCTTCTTTTATATAGGATGACGACGATAGTGGTGCTCCAATGTCCATGATAATCGGACTGTCGGTCGGCTTCGGCTCCGTTTGTGTTGTTGTTTTTTGTTGTTGTCTCATTTTCAAATGTTGTGGATGTAAAGAAGAAAACAGAAAAACATCTGCCGTTCGAAGAAAAATGGCATGGGACAATTAAAAATCACATTGTCTTTAATTAAAAAATCTCATACAAATATTGCAAGGAAGTACAATTAATGCTGATCACTGGATAAAGGAAATTATTTATTATTCATATTGTTTAAAAAAAAATATATACAATAAAACACATTCGTATGAAATGGGACTATGACATTGTAAAATATGCAGAAGAAGAAAGGTTCAAAAGACGCCATGAATGGTGTTTAAGTTGTACGGAAAGATTCATGTTCAGTGTGTATATACATTTTTAAAGATTTATTTTTGTGAAAATATTACAAAATAACGTTTTATATAGCTTATAGAAAGTAAGCGGGCCTGTGATAACAGAACGCACTTTAGGATCGGGACGTTCCAGATTTGTTTCATATTTTGGACATTACTATTTTTACTGAGAAAATTAATTTCTGCGCATCAGGGATAAATCGGTACCTGGGAAGGCAGGTCTCAGGTAACAAGTTGTCGAGTATGAAATGGGGAACCTGAATCTAGTGATCTCCAAGGGGAAATACTTTTTATTAAATTATTAGATTTATTAGAACATGCAAAAGGGGAAATACGTTTAGTAAGATTACCAACGGTTAATCTGTGATGTCATGGACATGCAAATGACGATAACAAGTGCTACACTGTATTTCATACTAAAATTGTGTTAATAAAACTTAAAAATTCTACAGAAGAAAAGGTACACTTTCACATGAACTGTGTAAATTTAAAACTCTTTATGCCCAAGCATTTATTTGTCAGGTATTAAGAATTATGTCAATTTATTTTCCTGCGCAACAGCAGTAATTCGGCCCGCAGTTTCCTCCGCAGTGATTGTATTTATACATTTTGAGTCCCACCGTAGATTTAGCGTCTCTACTCAATGTGTTACCTGAATAAACATGTAACGCGTTGAAACAAGTCTTTCTGTAAAATAAAATGAAATCAAAATCATAAAACAGTCCAAATTCAACTTGCAAATATTCCTATAGTTATTGCATAGACCCATGAACAATTAGCAAAACCTGTTTCCGGTTTTGCTTCTGGTTTAGCACCATAATTTTATATGTTTTTGAATAATGCATATGAAGACAATGTACTCAGACAAAATATTTAAATCAATATTGTAACACATATTTTGTAGGAAAAACATTTAGCTCACATAGTTTTTTTGCAGCACGCTATGGCGGCTGATTTGGTACACTTTGCATGTTGCGTTGTCGATACTATATATCGTTATAGCCTTTCGACTTATCTTGTCGCTAGCAAAACGCGCCAACCCACTGTCGTCTTGTCGTCCTATCGCTAGCGAAGCACGCCAACCGGCGCGTTGTCGATGTCGCCAAATTTTTGATTTGAGCTGAGCAACAATGTGACATAGCAACAACACGCTGCCAACAATGCGCCGTTTGGTGTGCTTTGTTAGCGACAGGACGACAAAACGACTGTACGACAATGCGCCGTTTGCGCTTTGTCCTACTGTCGCTAGCGACAACACGACGCACAAAAGTGTTCTAAATCAGCCACCATAGTATGTACGCTGATAAACCCTCTTTCTATAGTATTACTCTATGAAGTCCATGAATGACACACAAGTTTCCTCCCAGTTATAAAGAATATGCCATATTTGAATCATCTCCAATTTTTACTGAAGTGTGGCGACTGTTGACAAGACTTTATTATAAATAAGAAAGACAAAAATGCATTATTTAATCGGATATGACAAAGTGTTACCCTAGATTTTTGCATACAGTTTCACAGTCAGACGCTACATAAGAACATTGCCTTCTTATTGCGGACACGTAGTTACTTCCCTCCAAAATAGCTGTACACGTGGACTGAGCCAACATATCTGCGTAGTCGTGTACAACAGCAAAGTTATCATTATTTCCAGAAGTTTTTACACAGCCTGAAACATTTGCATATTTAGTATTAAATTTTATCCGCTGATGCCAGAGGTTGTCTTTTTAAGAGCATATAAGGAAAACCTATAATTTTTTGGCTTCTGAATGTACAGTAAGTAAACAATTGTCGGCAAAAAATATTTTTTTTAATTCGCCTGCCTTTTTAAATTATTACATGCGTATTTCCTTTTGTTCGGTTTATTAGATTTGTTAGTTTTCTGTGGTTTAGTTTTACGGAGAAACAGCACAATACGGCGACGACGAAACAGAAAGTATGATTGTGGCTAACCTCGTGTGTTACAAACTTAAAGCAACATCAGGGGACAAAACCACCTCACGGGATGCCTATATTCAAGTAAATCGGACCCATTTAGTCGCCTCTTACGATCACGCAGGTTAATAAACGACTGAATTCTAATGCTTCAACCTGTAAAGACAAGTCTAGAGGTATATAGAAGAACGCATTCTAGGTCCCCTTGCCATCAAATTTTAGTCTGAAAATTTAAATTAGTTTTAAAAAAAAACTTTATATTGTTTGGCTTAAACGCGATTAATACCCTTGACTAATAAATTGGCTTCTAAGATTGACTTAGACAGCTAGCAACCTTACACGAAATAATATAATTTCCTTGTAACAATTCAAACACAATATTGCTTTTTTTCTCAGATGGTACCTGTGTAACTGGTATGAACAAAACTTTAAATTGTATACCCACCACTAAACTGTACTGCATTACATGGTCTACTTTCCTGCTCAGACTTTTTACTTCCTTTAATAGTTGCCTCCCTTGATCTCGTTTGTATTCGTCCGCCATTGTTCCCCGAGCAGGATGTGAAACAGTCACCCCACACAGTCCAATCACTCCATTGAGACGTTTGTGTATCTACGTGTACAAATTAATTAGCAGCGTATGTGTATTGCATGTATATGTGACAAAATTGTTTTGCCCCCGTTTTCCGCATTTTCGCTTGCAAACATTGAGTGTATTATAAACATGATGTAGACTCCATGCATTTATTATATGTTAATAAATAAGTGATTTGACATTGGCCCTGTTATTTGTCCGAGGGCAGTCGTATTGGCCGAATGCCGAGGGCCAATACAATTGTACCGAGGACAAATAACCGGGCCAATATCAAATCGCTTATTTACTGACAATTTTAATAAATAACTACATGTACTTATAATATTTCACATTTAATCCTCGGATATTTCATCTGATTTTAATTCTAACATATTTTTAACAATCGGTTAAACACTACTAAATCATGTCGTGAATGTTTAGAAACTGAGAATATTTTGTTTCATTTATGCAACCTGTCGGCGTCTACACATAGACCGAATTAAAACAAAATGGCTGCCATTTCCTAGTTTCTTACAGAAATCTATATCATTTTTTGGCCAACGCTGAATAGATTTTGTTTTCGGTCGGAGACCGTATGTTTTCGGTTGAACTTCCTGGAAAAACTTAATATATATATAAAAATTCCATAGGTCATTTTCAAATTACAATCTGAAATCTAGGAAACTATTTGGCCATTGTAAAATTAGTAAAACAAGAAAAGCATTGATGCAAAGCATCAAAGGGCGTCCATGCAAGAAATGCAGCAAGTGAAGATGAACTAGTAGACATCTTATGACCAGATATTCGTATAAACTTTTCAGTGATTAATTGGTTTTTACCAGAATTGTATAATATTTATGAATGGGCGGACGAAAGACATTGTTCATCATGAAATTTGGTAGGCATGCTAGAGATTAGAATTTTTTTTCCACAGGAACTTGAAATTCTATAAATATTAACGATAATATCCAAAATATACAGGTCTATTATATTCAAAGTGCAAATTAGTTGTTTGAATATGTTTATTTTTTCATATTTCATTTCCTGCAAAATTCTCCAGTTCGTTATTTATAACTATAGCGCTACACGAATGACCGTTTCGTTAAACTAAAACTACTTCTTTAAATAGATTTTCGGACTTTCACAATGTTAAGGTCATCATTCTATTTATAGGTACAGCAATACACAATAACCCACTGTGTGTACTACAAAATGATAAATAAAAAAACACTGAAGAGCGCGATTAATTGATGGATATGATGATTTCATTTATATATGTTTGCATTGCGAAATTCTCCAGTTCGCTATTCATTGTTCGCGACATTTCATTTTTTATAATCAAACACATTCATACCAATCGGAATGATCGGCTATTATGACCGACGAAAAGGCCCGAAAAGTTGCTGCCACCCTTTCATAAAATCTTATTTCATTCCATAAGGGGCATCGCGCTTCGGCGCGGACGCCAATAATATACAAAGGATTTTTCTTATATGGTATACGTGTTAAATTTTTAGTTGACTAAAGGAGTTCTGGAAACCAACTACCGGTATCTGCATTTGTAAGTTCTTTTACTATAAAGTTAAATTTCAGATACTTAAGTTTTATTTAAACATACTACAGTATATTCTCCTACACATTATAAGTTCTATATTAACATGCACCTAATGAGTTACAAATGTTGTCAAAATTTAAAGAAAATATTTAAAATACTTCGAATGTGCAAAAATATGCATATGATTTTAATTTTTCAAAAATTTAAACGTAAAATTGTATCACAGACTGAATATCATAATCCTTATGATTCTATTTCTATAAGATACGATATGAAAATAAATCAGTTGTTTTAGTTTGGCCGAGTATCTTTTTTTAAGACATTTCGTGTTTTTTTTTTTCATGAATTGGTAATAAAATATATACTTCATGCACAATTAGTACATGTAGTTACAAATGAATATATGAAAGAATATTCAAATGCAATTAAAGATCTTTATTTTAAAAAAAAAAAGTTTGCGGACTTTGTTGTCATAACATTTTAGACCCAACCCCAGGAAAAAAAACTGTTTAAGTTCAGTTTTACCCACGCAATATGAAGATATTATTTATTTGGTTGGGTTTTTCCGTCACATGAACACTCCTATGGTCAAAGGCGACTTTCCAGCTTTACTGGTGGAAGAAAAAATCAGGTGACCCTCTTTGTATTATTTCAGACACGAATCACCTACGTTTCATAAGCTAGCTGGATAGCTTTTCACATGAAAGAATTAAAGAATTCAAAGTCCCTGGCAGGATTCGAATCCACTGCGATGAGAGAAAAGAGGTTTCAAGATAACGACATGAACCACCCGGCCACGGACGGTTTAATTAGATAACATGCAAAAATAATTCAATGCAATATATTACAAATGTAATACAATATATGTAAATGTGACACATTATTCCAAAGAAAACATTGATTTAAACAGAGGTTATAAGGACGTATAAATGTCTAACCTGTCACAGGCTGTTGAAGGCGTTCAATTATGTTTTGTTGTGAAGTAAGTTGGCCCTGTTGACTTGCGATTGTTTCAAGTAAGCTGGTTTGTTTTGCTTCTAAATCAGCCATTTTCTGTAAAACCTTAAAAAGTAATCATCAACAATAATGTAGTGCAGTGTTATACGGTATAATCATCATCACTTTAAAAGAACAAACAAACAAAGAACAGTGTCCAAAAAGAAGAGTTCAACTGTAAGTTAATTGAGCACTATTCCAAAGTTTAATAGTATTCAGCCTTAAAGTGGTCCTTAACTGTTTTCCTTTGTTTTCTTTGTTTTGTTGTTGTGATGTCTTTTAAACTAACAAGTTAACATGTTGCAGTTAAAACAATAGAGGAGGCGAACGAGAATGATGTTCGACATTTTGTTTTTTTGGTCAAAACACAAAAAAATAATTGCAAATGCAATGTATTTTTTTGAAAAAGCCTGCATTACATGTATTATTGAAAAAATGACCCATTTACTGTGCAGCAGGCAATATGCCATACCAAGGACTTTAACATACATATATAATACTGTTGCTGACAAGCACCACCCATGCACTTAACCATTGAACTGTGAATTGGGCGATTTCAGGACGGTGCAAGTCACTTCGTTTCGACTGATCAAATCCTTTCTACGGTAATTCGAACTGTACCTCTGCTCTAGCATATACAGAAGTTTTAGCAGTTCCTTGCGAAAGTGAAGGCATCTAGTACTAGTAAAATGCTTCACAATCAGCTCACAAACAATGTGGTGGTTGGTGAACTCATAGCGGCTTATTGCCGTGATCCAAAACCCAGTAACGCTGCTGGCCAATTCAAACTATGCAAATGGTTGTTAGACCTATCATTTACTTATAAACAGAAATTATAAAAATACATGTGTACTAACAATTTTATACATACCTGAAAGTCGTGTTCGAATCTTGGGGCGCATGCAGATCCACACAAAGGTTCCTCGGCGCTTACTCTCGATATGAACATTAAACTTACGAAAAGTTGAAAATGTGATACTGTTCTCATCCTGCTTTACCTTAAATCGTCTGTTTCAGAGTGTAGTTAATAGAGAAATAAATAAACAACTATTAATGTAAGTTGTTTTTATTTCTCTACAGTTCGAAGGTCAAATACCATCTAAACATTTTAATACGCACGCTGATGTCAATGAAAGTTAACCAATAGCGTGCAACCAGGAATAAAAATAGACATCTAAAACTGAACGACGAAAAAGTTTCAATGCCTGTGCTTATCATCGTTATAGCCGATGTTTAAAAATAATTACAGTAACAAAAATTCTAACAAAGGTCATATATAACCACCAAAACACACCATAACCGGCGGGAACATCCTAACAATTCATAATCAAGTCATACCATCAGTTGATATATAAGACCATGGGAATAAGTTAACTAGGGAATAAGCAACACTCTTCTTTCTTCCACTCGGTACGTGCACGTCGTGACGGCAGATGATTGAAGATCCATTGTAACGTGTAATACGGGGTAACATTTAAGACGGCACGACTTAGTTTGTATCAAGTAAGCTGCCGATGATCTGACTAAAGCAGAGGAGAGTTGTCTTACAAAGTACGGATGGACCACGAGGAAAGTGTGATAGGGTGCGTGAGACAGTGAATGACAGCTTGGAATAGTCATATCTTTGGTTAATACTATGTGGAAATTGCATGGAGTTAAATACTATAAATTATCATCACTTTGTACTTCAAAATTAACCCTTTAAAGTAATGACTGTGGACATGTTCGAGCTAGGTCCGTACTTGACAGCGAAAGCTGCTTTTTGTGCCTAAACGGGCGGATGGGCCCTTGTTAAGCTTAGAATACATTCATACATACACAATCCTAACCATACACATGATTTGTATATAAAAGAATTGGACCAGTTAAAAGATAATTGAAACATTCGCAAGTGTTAACTATGCCATTTCCTCTCGATATGTCCTACATGTATTAAGTATGGCAGTTAATTGTAGGTTTTATGTCGGAGGCTTTATTAGTTTAAGTGCACCATCTTAAGTAATGTAGATTGATATAAGATGTTGTGTCTAATGATCACTACTTACTACTTGGCATATCTCATTAATGTTTGGTCATTCACTTTGACACGCACAGTACAGTATGTCGCGCTTCTTCTGAGTTTGACAAGTTTTGCTTGTTTTGTGATCTGGCTAAAGTTCAGATATTATTATGCATAGCGGTTATTAGACGCCACGTGCACGCGGCGTCTAGTAGATATGCATTTGTCAATATAGCAATGGGGAAAATTTTAGACTTGATTTTGTGTATTTTTTGTTTTAACAAAAACACACTGTTTTCAAATTTTCTAATAAAATTAGCTTTTCTGATGTACATGTCACACAGCTTTAAGGGATTAGAATAAACGTTTAAATGAAGTGGTAGTGCCATATGTTTGAATATCATATTCTTTTTATCATTTTCTTATGTTATCTACCTAATAAATAACGTGCCAATGAGCCAGTCTACGGTCGATCGTTCTAAAACGACAACGAGCACATACCAAGAATATGGAGAAAAACTGATTTGTGCTTCGGATAATCAACTGTAATAGAGAACGATTTTCAATACTGATTTACTGTTCATATCATTTTGTAGCATCAACATTTAACTTGTATGTGAGCTGATTTATATGGCCGAGTGGTTAAGGTCGTTGACTTCAAACCACTTGCCCTTCACCGCCCCGACAGGGACTTTGGATTCTTTCATGTGAGGAAGCTATCCAGCTAGCTTACGGAACGTCGGTGGTTCTCCTCAGGTGCCCGTTCGTGCCTGAAATAATGCACGGAAGGGCACCTGAGGTATTCCTCTACCAGTAAAGCTGGAACGTCGCGATATGACCTATACAAATTTTTTATATACATGTACTCGCTATTTTTAGTATTTATTTCTATTATTAGCACCAGCTAGTTAGCCTATCGATGTAGTGATATTTATTTACCAAAACACACGGACTATTGCACTTTCAGCCAAAACTACGGAACTTAAATTATTCTTTGAAAATGGCTATTCAATGACCATATGAAAGTGATCAGTAATTTTGAAGATTGTTTACTATATCACCTATGGTTCTCTTCAGCACATATGAAGCTCGACTGGAATTTTGACGTATACTGCATAAAAGGAAAGTCAGGAGGGTAGAATCACATTTTGATTTTCTTTAAAACAAAAAGTATTGAATTTTATATAGATGTTTTAAAGCTGCACGCCTCTAGATGAGCCAAAATATTTCAAGAAATTAAGAATTGAGAAAAATCTACTATAATTTTATGAAGGGTAAATACATTCCTGATCCAAGTTATACTTAACATGTTGTGTGCGGTTTAAGACTGATTTTGCTGTATTTTATCACCATATTTCTACTGCGTTACTTACGCAGTAAGAGCTGTTTTTGCATATGTTGTCAACATTTTGGTAATTTTCTTGGATTGTAAGTGCCGATTGCAATACGTAAATTTATGCTTTATCTGTTCACCTCACAATATTTTACTATAACATTCATTTCCAAAACGTTCATGAAAATTAACATGAATCTGTAGGCGTGCTGCTTTAAATGTTGAAAACTTACCTTGACATATATCGAGTTATATAGCGCACATCTGGATCAGCGGAAATTCACCTTTATTATTACCCTGCTCAATTTTTGAGATCCGTATGGGGTTCCACACGCCGTGATATGGGGCCATGTCGTATTTTCGTTCAGCTAGACGCCATGCGAAAATACGAGGATACGAATTTGCGTCCCGCGGAACGGAAATACGTCAAAGTGGTAACTTTAATTGTTACTTTGTCGAATTATCGTTTTGCAACGTACGACAAAATGTTGTGTCGTGTCTGGCGCCTTAGAGAGCGAAAATACGACATTGCACAAATCAGCCACCATAGATTTATAAGAAGAAATGGACAAACTATGTTATATTTTGTATGTAGCATGCTACTTCTGTGTAATACATGATGTCAACATTCTTGTGTTTGAAATAAAAAAAAATTAATTAAAAAAAATCATTGACCATTTTTACTTACAAGATGTCTTAAAATCTACATTTACTGCAAAGTACAAAATTGTACATGTAGATATAGTGCTATAGCTTTCCAAGGGAGGAAATTCAATTATTTTTCAGTACGATTTATAATTGTTATTCTTTCTAGATTTACAAATCAAGAATAAAGAAATGAAGATGTACAAGGAAAGCATTTTGCGTTTGTTAAGAATCTATCTCTTGATTAGTAAGACGACAAAAGTCCTTTTTGTGAAGAGAAAACTTCTCGTTAATATCATTGAAGTTTGAATTGTTCTAAATATAAAATTTGAAGTCGGAATAAAGTTGTTTTTAGCCTTTAAACATGCCACTGGACAGCTAGTATCGCATCTTTCTGTGCGCTGAGAGTTGTTACTCAAGCATTTATAATATACAATGTATCTATTTAAACAGTAAGCTATCTTGTATCTAATTAAAAATATAAATAATGACATATAGATTAAACGTAATGTTTTATTACGGGTAAGTAACTTAGCAAAAATCATTTTATTTTTACAGTAGCAGATCAATAAATTCTCATTTGTTGAAAGAAACTTCTATTTTTCAAAGAGCACAAATTTCTTCACCTTCAACGTTGCTCTGGCGTGCAAAATTACCGTCCAATGGACAAACACTTGTGCCAAGTTAATTGTAATTGCATTGCTTAGTTACATCCCCGACAAACTTGGTCAGACACACACAGACTGGGCACAGGTACACACCGAGTTCGTCCAGCCACAGGAACTTGAAAGTCTGTCAATAATATCAGTAAAGTCCGATTAAAAAATTCCATCTCTATATAATGTTTTATATAGGGATAGATTTTTTTTAATCGAAGTCGAAATATATTGTTCTGTAATAGTTAAACAAATACACAACAAAGATCAAACTATTTTCCTATCACAATTTTATTACTCTACAGTGTGTTCATAAAACTTACATTGACAGTTATCTTCATTATTTTTACAATCATAATGCCATATTCAAAACAAGACACCTTCTAAATCCATTCATATTAACTGAGTTAAATCATGTAAACAAAAAATTTACAGAAAATGGGAATAAATATTGACTACTGGTGAGAATGAAATTGACTTTGTATAGTAAAGAGGAAAAAACAACATGTGACAAGTGGTGTCCCATTATATTAAACACTCGATGAAGTTACTGTTCTTGTTTATATAAATAATTTACAACTTCCTTCTCCTATGTCATTTATTTTTTTTTAAAGTGCATAACTCTATATAAACACACCATCAGATGCATGCAAACGTTTTTTTTTTTCATTCAATTAAAAATGAATATTTTTTTTTAAGATCTGGATTATGTAAAATCATCACAGACTATAGCAATGCCTGTCTCATAGCAAATGTAAACAAGTGTAGTGTGGTGTTTCCATCAACCTGTTTCACAATGAACTGCATGTCCTTTTAATTAAAACTGTCAATTGTTGAAATGACGCACTTCAACATCATTTCATATAAAAATTTAGCCAAAGGACTTAAACCTGGTCAGACTGCATCCAAATGGCAAACTGGCCGAAACTCTACACTGGTGTTATTTGTCTGCCTTAAATTGTCTAAAAGTGAAACTGGAGGGGTTTTTAAAAATTGGCTTCCATCTTGAATTACTGAACATTTCAACTAAATGTGTCCAAAGTAAAAAAACTAGAATAACAGGGAATTTAATAACTATTTTCATATATATATAGCACTTCTAAAGAGTATTTTGTTCCAGTCATAGAAAATAAACTGTAACTTAGTCAAATAAGTTAATTAATATAAAATAAACATAAAAAATAGAGTTTATGTCAGGAAATGAGGGCGGTCAAGTAATTTTTACAATAGATTTTCTAAAATGAATTTATCCATAAATAAAAAATCCTACAAAAAACAGCAATATCATGCTTATTTTATTCATTATACATCAGCAATATTCTAAAATATTTTCAACTCGTTCAAGAAATAAACATATTTAGAGCATTTTAGAGCCTATAACTTCACTGGTGGCCTTGGGAGAGAGAGAACCTAATGTTCCAGTACTCAAACCTGATTTACTGTTCCACAAATTGCTTTAGTAAATTTGAATGTCTACGAATTATTTATACATACATAAGAACATGTTTACATACAAAATTGAAAAATAACAAAGTATTACAAAACACTATGAAAGATATATATATATATTTTAACAGAGTTCTACCAGTATCAGATCACCAGGAGAAAAAAAAATTTTAGCTGTTAAAAAAAAGAAAAGAAGATTGAATCCTAAACCTACTGACTTTGTGTAATGGATTTGCCCTGCTTTGAATTTGGAACAGTCCATTTGAAAAATTAAGGGATTTCAATATCAAAGTACAAAACTTGAGCTACCACTGGTATGGAGCGTAGTAATGCTGCATGAACATAAAGGCCAACCTGGCTCTATACTGGTGGACATGGCTTTATTACTCGGTTCCTGCATGTTACGAGTTAGGAAAATGGGCATGAATATTCATTTCTACAAACCTGAAAAAATATTCTGTCTAACACCTTAGTCATACGGTATTTTTATTAAGAAATAATGAATACAAAAAATGAGTAATCTAATTCTTTAGAAGAAAAAAAATCAATATGGATATGATGTAATATATATATATGACCAAATAGTTCTACTTGTCAGAGAATTATACAGTGTATTGGCATGGTCATGAAATTTTTATCTAATTTTACATAAAAGTTCCTTATCATCAATTTAGTGGGCACTTTCTCTGTGCATACAAACTTAATAGAATACAAATTAATGATTAATCTACAGGCACAACCTCATTTAACTCAAGTTTTTCTTACATTAATGACAGTAAGTGGATCTAATGTCTTTCCGTTTTTTCTTAACCCTTTCTTTTTTAATAGGCAGCTTCAATTAACAAATAATGGACAGAACACATAAAGTAAGTCTGTAAAACAAAGTAAGTTCTTACTTTTCTGTTGATATGAATTGTGAATCAACATTGCTTATCAAAATAAAGTCCATCTTTTGTATTTAAGCATGTAAATCAATTCCGAGTTAATTAAATTAAAAATTTGCATCTTTTGTATTTCTGCATGTAAATAGAGTTATAGAGCTAAAAACATTTGTAAGTTTAGTTACAGTAAGTAAGATGTTTTGGCTTTTTTTTCTTCAAAAACTAGATATTAATCTACAGGTGTTTTTGTCATATTGCCAAGTAAAATAAAGAATAATACATGTAAATTTTCCAAATATTATATACATGTATATGTTTGAAGTAGAATTTACAATATACATTCATACATCGCAAGTAGAATATACATGTAAATGTTCCAAGTAGAATAAACAATTATGTAAATGTTCAAAGTGGAATATACAATGTACATTAAATATTCCACATACAATATACAATGTACATGTATACTTCATACAGAATACACAATGTACATGTAGATAAATATTCCATGTAAAATATACACTGTACACATATGTAAAGATTCCAAGTAGAATAATGTACATATTCTAAGTGGAATACACAATGTACATTAAATTACTCCCTGTAAAATATACAATGTGAATGAAAATATTCAAAGTAGGTTGTACATGTAACTACATGTACTGCAGGTATAATGTACATATGATGCACAATGTACATATGATATACAATGTACATACAATGTGATGTACAATGTACATTTGATGTACAATGTACACATGAATATTCCAAATAGAATACACCATTCCACAACGTGTATGATTATGGACTGAAAATGTTTGCACCTTGATGTTATTTAAATCTATCTTTCCTTCCCTCTCAAAATTGTAAGCCAACAAAGACAGGTGATTCTTATATCAAGGTTTTCTACACAATTATGAGAGATGTACATGTATAATAGGTTAACACTAGTAACAATAAAAAACATGTCATACATTATGCATAAACTACTTTAAATTTGTTTGATAGAATACATATATATTGCTTTAGTTTTTTTTTTCAACAGATGTAACAATCCAATAGTTTTACATACCCCATATTCTAAGAGTGACCTTATTACATATAATTTCTTTTTCACAATTTTTTGACAGAAAACAGATTACATTATGCCCTTTGTATTCACATATGTTATTTAAAAAATATGCAAGCTTAAATCTACTGCGAATTTCACACTTACTTACATTCAAAAGCTTTTTGTCAAACGCAATATGTTTTCATTTGCCTTGCATTCTAAAAGGCTGTAGCAACAGAAAATACATAATCAGAATAAGTAAATCTTGCCCTTAATTTAGCAAATTCCTAACAAAAAAGATTTGTTCTAATACCTCAACATTTTTCTCTACACAATGAATCTAAATTATTAGAGTATTAGAAATATTTAGAAGTATTCATTACTTATTCTAGTGGAGAAATTACTTTATAATGTTCTAACACAAGATAATATCTATAGTTTTTTTTCACGTCGTTAAATATAAAAACATAAAGATTAGCTGTTTCGCCAATAGCCTTGTCACACTATTTGCTTTAAGACAATATAACAGTATCCTTCAACCTGTATTCTGTATTATTATTTTTTTTCCTACAGAAAAGCAGGTCTCGGCAAAGATTGAAGAATACTCTAAGTTAACCACAACAAATGCCAGTTCTTCTCCGTGCTAAGCTCAATCAACAGAAAGTCTCCTAAACATAAAAAAGCTTGCATTAAATCCTGGAGAAAATGTTCGACAGACAAAAACTGACATAAAATATTAAATCTTTGTATAACATCAAGTTTATAATATAATGTTGTTCATTTAATCATTGTCTCTTCTATAGAAGGACAGTAGTTACAGGAAGTAGTCTGGAGTCCTTCTTGTCACATGTGGCTCACCTCGTCTTGGCGCAGGATCAAACTGTAAGCTGCAACATAGATAATAGCAAAATCTTAGTAATAGATAAAGAAACAAACATAAAATACATATAGAAGACTTGACGCTAGACTGTCTCATAAGGTAAATCTCTGAACATGTTCAATTAAAGTGACATTATGCCCATCTAAAGGTAAATAGTGAGTGAACAGGTGAGAGTCAAAATAAATTTTCATTTTGCCATAATCCGTTTTTATTTAATGATTTACTTCGCATTAACAATATATAACCACCAGATTTAAACGAAATTTCAGTAAATATCATTTAGAATTTACCTGTAACGTTCAATTTATAAAAAGAGTGGGACAGTCTTTTTATATTTTAGGCAGATTTTAAATTTTATCTTAAACATTTTCCAATATAATATGTTGGTCAAACATCATTTAAGCAGTCAATCTTTTGAAATATAAACTAAGTCAATTCAGCTCAACTTGACAATGAAAATATGAGCATAATGTCACTTTAAAGATTAATTGACCTTTTTCATTGTATTTCATGGTGCTTGAATACAAGCAAAGGTCATACGGAGGCTTTATTGATAGAGGAAGACCTTGGGTGCTTGCTTCCCTTTGCAAAATTATACTAAACTAGGTAGGAGAGCTTCCAAACATGACAGAATCAAAAGATCCTAGAGTTATCAAACTCACAACATTCAGGGATAGGTGATTCAATTAACAACCATAATCATTTGGTCATGCATATGCATTTGACAATAAAATAAAATGCAATACTCCTATCCATTTATACGTGTGATAAATTATTGATTACACTTATATTCATAGAAAGATTGACTGGCAAGAGTACTTTCCCCTGTTCACATCATCATTATAGCTCACAGAATGGACATGTATGCATCATCGTAAATAATGTGAAATAAGTCAGGACACAATTTGTAGAACAGAAAAAGTCTCCATTTTGAAAAAAGTAGCTTCTATTAAAGATAATGATAAATCTTTTTCAATAAGTCTATGAAAATGTCTCTTAGAAAAAAATGTTTACTTTTCAAACAAAACTTACATAATTCTGTCATGTTTCAACTGAACAGATAATTAACTACAATAATTAGTTTCCTTGCAAGTATTGGCATGTCTTCAAAATCTAAATCCATTTGTCTGGATTGAATCAATGGAGATGAAAAGGGCAACTAATGGTCTTTTATTGATTGGAAACACATTGGACTTTCAGTACTTACCACAATATAGTACATATGTAAGCCAACAAAGAAATTTTTTGCTCATTGAAATTAAAGTTTTACATAATTGTAAATATTTTAATACCTTATTTTTTATATAATTGTACAGATATAAAACAAGGGAGATTCATTAAAGCTGCACGTGTTTAATTCTAGAATGTTCCTAGAAATGTGCCAATGTCAAACACTTTTAATCCCCCACTTCATTTGCTGTAAAAGTGGCATATTTACATTTCTTATAAATTGTATGCAAGTCAAGTGTTATATAATATTTAATTAGATTATCTAACTTATAGGTTTTACAAATCATAACAGAGGAAACTCTTGTTCTTGATTACACAAATATTTCACATCACTTTGACATAGACACAACAACCTCAAAATCAATAGGGTTCTCCTACAGGACTTGGGCAATGTCCCACACTGTTTCATAAACTGACAGTATCACTGTGCCTTAACCTTTGACCTAATGTCGGCAAAATCAACAGGGGGCACCTTTTGACCATGGGGCAATGTCCCTACTAAGTTAAAAACTTGACCATACTCTTTAGCAAATAATTGAAACAACAAGAACTTTCCGAACTTTCTGAGTCCAATGCTACTATGACTTCAATCTCTGTTGACATCAAAATTAATAAGGGTCATTAATAGTCATTACTAACCTTAGCGTAAAGGCCAAAATGCTCCCTAGTTAATCCTTGACAATGCATAGAATTAAATTCCCCACTTTTATATAGAATTTATAAGAAATATAATTATGTTACACCTACACAAAAATAAAAGAGGCATAAAAAAAAACTATACATACAATGAATATTTAAGAGCATCATCCAGTTCCATAATGGCTGCTTGATTTCCACATCTGTAACAGTAGTTGGGGGCGCTGAATATAGTGACAACATTTCGGTCATGACACCAATTGTAACCCTGGAAAACAAAGTCTCATTTTATATATACCGTATAAGTGGTTTTTTCTGCGGGCTCCAAATTCTGCGGTTTTTCCAAATTTTGGCATGTTTTTATTTCTGCGGCCTTTATTTCTGCGGCACATTCTTTGGACAAAACGTGATTTAATTTCTGCGACTTTCCTTATCTAAGTAACATTTCTCTAGTTTATTTTCATGTACGCATTCGCATTTGTTTGTCGTCGTCACCAAAAAACTGTACAGTAATTACAAACAATTATAATGTTTGCTTGCAAACAAATATAATGCGCAACAAAAGAAAGGTATGCATCTTTTGATCAGCGTGAAATGACGTGTGAAAAATATACATACCCCTGTAGTATCTTCAATTTAATACCGTAAAGCAGATGCCAATTAAAGTATTCGACGATTATCTAGCAGTATAAGGGTTGAAATGGTTTGAATGATTTAGTGATAAACAAACATTTAGCGTATCGGCAAACAATATAAATTACATGCTGTTTAAATATTTTTATTCTTAAGTTAAAATAATTAACAATAAGTACATCCTTACAAACAAACACTTACATACTTAGCAGACAACAGTTTTATTCAACTTGAAAACCCACAAACCGTTATAATCCGTTAGTCGTTATTACTTTTAAGGTTTATATGAAACAGGTCATAATGCAGTGCACATATAGTACCAGGTTAAAAAAAACAAAAACATGGAAAATATTCTGCGGTTTTTATTTCTGCGGTGCTGAAGCTGACCGCAGAAAACGCAGAAATAAAGTCACCGCAGAAAAAACCACTTATACGGTATGTATACATTTTTAAATACCACATATTTGTAGCACCAGTTTTCATTGGATAATTATTACATATTATATTATTTATACACATGGCTGCTACAAATTTATGAATTTGCTTTTATTTTATAATCCATGCTAGCAATTATGCAGTGTTGCAAATTCTAACATATGGATTTCTAAAAATAGTACCTTGTTGGCAATACTTCAAGCTTGTAGCTTCCATCTGTTAAAAATCATGCTCTAAAATGATCATAGTTTCTTTTATATGTCAAAGTATGTTTATTAAGACATACTATACTAAAGCTTAGTGCTTACTAGCCAGTTGTCTTATTTCTTAATAAACATATACTTAGAAAATTTCAGAAGAATTTCAGGACACATATGATATATCAAAATAAAACTGTCATTTTCTTTTTGTAATCTGGCATAGTATACATATATATATATGTATCACCACCAGGCTGGGATTAAAATTCAAGGCCAGTTTATATACCCAAAAGAAATTCCTTCCTAAATGTCTATGAAACAAACACCCACAAAATGACATAAACAAGAAACATCAAACTGCCAAAAACAGACTTGTTAAGTTTCAATATACAATTTGAAAAGTTGTAGACAAACCTCCATGACTAGCTGATGGGCACGTGACACAAGGGTTAAACCATTGCTGTGGTTGAATGTCTCTGAGATATCCTGACCAAACGTGTAACCTGCACCCCTAGGAGAGATACCCCAGCCACCTCTGTCATCTGGATCTGACCAAAGAAGATCACACATTGGTCCCTGAAAACAAGAAAATATTTTTTCTCCCGTTCATTTCCTTGTTTATATATTCTAACATTCAATTCTATTATTACATGTACCATCATCATTTTATCAAAACTGTTTTGTCACATTTAAAAAAGAAAAGGCATTTAAGAACACTGTCTTGATCATTAATGACTTTTACAATGAAAACATGTAATATTCTTCTTAAGCATTTTTCTCTGACCACTTCATAGATTGTGCTTCTAAACGTATATAATTTTTCAAATAGAAGGGTCAGGCATTTATATGGTAAAATCTATCTTTCTTAGTCCAGCTGCATAAAACAAATAGTTCCTACTTTTTTCTTTATAGAACTCAGATTGTAACACTAACTTGAAACTCTACATTTACAAAACAATCTAGATCATCAGTCAATGAATCTTGAATATAGCCAAAGACAATATTAAGCATCACTGAGAAAAGCTGTAAAATAATTGTTACCTCATGTGGAACTTCTTGTATTCTATCTAGAGCTCTGATATGATCTAGTGTGTCTATAGAAGGTGACAATCCTCCATGTAAACAGAAAATCTGAAAAAGTTAAGCGTATATACTTTTAAGAATAAGACCCAAGAATTGTCTAACAAACTTGGACACTAGTTGTTTCATTTAGTCGCAGTAGGAATTTCTGAAAATAGTGCCTCAGCTACAAACTTACCTGAAAATCAAAGTTAAAAACATGTATGACCTAAATTGAGTAAAATAGACCATCATGGTAGTAAGTTACCTTAATATACAAAAAAAATGTGACCAGAAATTGTTTACTTGTCTTTAAATTCAAAACATTAACAAAACGTGTGATTCATGGTAAAAATTCATAATTCACCAACTTGTATAAAGTCTACAACATGGGACATAAGCATATGGTAATTTCGTATCTATTTAAAATCAGTTTACATCAAGAATGCAGAAAACCTGCATCAGAATAAATAACAACACTCATAGATAGTACAAATCTGACTACATGTAAGCTAGAATTGTGCAATTTGTCCCAGTTGATGATTTCATTATGCTGGATTTGGAAACATTTGACTCAAGTATATTTTCTATAAACATATATGCATAACTAGAAATAAATACAGACATAACTAGAACTGCCACTATCATGGCGTGAATACCCCCGCATACCACTTTGTCAGAATCAACAGTGGCCATTTAGAGCTCAAGGACAACCTCCCTGCCAAATCTGAGGTTACTAAGTCAGTGAATTGCTAAGTTATGTATTCTACATGCTTCAAATGTGAAAATGTCAAAATCAATACATTGCGGACAGGACATTCTTTAGCAATTGAGAAGAAAAGCTTTTTTTTTGTCAAGGTCCCTGTGACCTTGACCCAGTGACCTCAAAATCAATAGGGGTCACCTTATAGTCATGATCAACATCCATACCAAATATGAAGACTGTGGGTGGACAAACTTTTTGAAGTCAAAGTCCCTATGACCTTGACCTTTGACCTCAAAATCAATAGGGGTCATCCACTAATCATGACTAACCTCCATGCCAAATATGACGACTGTAGGTCAAAGGAATCTTAAGTTATTGGGCGGACAAGCTTTTTGAAGTCAAGGCCCCTGTGACCTTGACCTTTGACCTGGTGACCTCAAAATCAATAGGGGTCATCTACTAATCATGACTAACCTCCATGCCAAATATGAAGACTAAGGGTCAAAGGAATCTTAAGTTATTGGGCGGACAAGCTTTTTGAAGTCAAGGCCCCTGTGACCTTGACCTTTGACCTAATGACCTCAAAATCAATAGGGGTCATCTACTAATCATGACTAACCTCCATGCCAAATATGAAGACTAAGGGTCAAAGGAATCTTAAGTTATTGGGCGGACAAGCTTTTTGAAGTAAAGGCCCCTGTGACCTTGACCTTTGACCTGGTGACCTCAAAATCAATAGGGGGCATCTACTAATCATGACTAACCGCCATGCCAAATACGAAGACTAAGGGTCAAAGGAATCTTAAGTTATTGGGCGGACAAGCTTTTTGAAGTCAAGGCCCCTGTGACCTTGACCTTTGACCTAGTGACCTCAAAATCAATAGGGGTCATCTACTAATCATGACTAACCTCCATGCCAAATATGAAGACTAAGGGTCAAAGGAATCTTAAGTTATTGGGCGGACAAGCTTTTTGAAGTCAAGGCCCCTGTGACCTTGACCTTTGACCTAGTGACCTCAAAATCAATAGGGGTCATCTAGTAATCATGACTAACCTCTATGCCAAATATGAAGACTAAGGGTCAAAGGAATCTTTAATTATTGGGCGGACAAGAAAAAACCGACGGACGGACGGACAGCCGGACGGACGGACAAGCTGATTCCAGTATACCCCCCTTACAACTTTGTTGTGCGGGGGTATAATAATTCAAGCACACATATACAATCATTTAAGATTAAAGTATCAATATGCACACTTACTTGTCCATCTACTAGAGCTGTCAATGGTAAATAATCAAACAAATCTGTGAAATATTTCCATACATTAGCGTTGCCATATTTCCGTAAACATTCATCATAGAACCCGTACACTTGTGTGATCTGTCTACTTTCATGGTTTCCTCGTAAAATTGTTATTCTATCCTTAAATCTTACCTAAAATCAAATTACATACCTTTTTATAAAGTACAGAAAATAATTAAGTTACAGGACTTAAATATCTGAAAGAATACTATCTGGAAATTTTGAACATGACAAAGGAAAAAGTTAAAAAAATATGAGGTGTTTAACAGGAATAATCTATAAAACCAGAATATGGTATGACAGAATGTTTTTATCACACACTTTTTTATCTCAAAAACTTTCAAAAGAAAAGGGTAATAATTGCAGATATGAAATAAAAACACAGAGTTAAATTCAAATCATTCAGTGACTGGTGAATCTCACTTGAAGGGTAATTCATTCTTGAAGATTTGGTCACCTAAACAATACATACTTTACAACTAAAATATAAAGAAAACCAGTTTACTACTTATTGACTGAGTACTTTTTTAAAGGACAAAACATTCTGTTTTTATTTTTATTTTAAATTATAGGCAACTATTTCACAATATATGTCCTCTGATATGATTCATGTGTATTGTCCTACAATTTTACAATAAATATAACTCTGATTAAATTTAAATATTACTTAAGTGGGTCAGTAGGTCATGTAGATAAATATAAACATGACAATAGAAAAACAAAGGTATGAAGGAGTGTAGTCTGAATCATAATAATTCAAAAGAAAAATTTTACGTCAAACAAATTTTGAGTTGTTGAAAATAGGTTTTTTGTTGGATATTCAAAAATAAAAGCAGCCTAAACTAGAACTGCCACTATCATGGCTTGAATACCCCCGCATACCACTTTGTCAGAATCAACAGTGGCCATTTAGAGCTCAAGAACAACCTCCCTGCCAAATCTGAGGTTACTAAGACAGTGCATTGCTAAGTTATGTATTCTACATGCTTCAAATGTGAAAATGTCAAAATCAATACATTGCGGACAGGACATTCTTTAGCAATTGAGAAGAAAAGCTTTTTTTTGTCAAGGTCCCTGTGACCTTGACCTTTGACCCAGTGACCTCAAAATCAATAGGGGTCACCTTATAGTCATGATCAACATCCATACCAAATATGAAGATTGTGGGTCAAAGGAATCTTAAGTTAATGGGTAGACAAACTTTTTGAAGTCAAAGTCCCTGTGACCTTGACCTTTGACCTAGTGACCCCAAAATCAAAAGGGGTCATCTACTAATCATGATCAACATCCATGCCAAATATGAAGACTGTGGGTCAAAGGAATCTAATGTTATTGGGCAGACAAAGTTTTTGAAGTCAAAGTCCCTGTGACCTTGACCTTTGACCTGGTGACCTCAAAATCAATAGGGGTCATCTACTAATCATGACTAACCTCCATGCCAAATATGACGACTGTGGGTCAAAGGAATCTAATGTTATTGGGCAGACAAAGTTTTTGAAGTCAAAGTCCCTGTGACCTTGACCTTTGACCTGGTGACCTCAAAATCAATAGGGGTCATCTACTAATCATGACTAACCTCCATGCCAAATATGACGACTGTAGGTCAAAGGAATCTTAAGTTATTGGGCGGACAAGCTTTTTGAAGTCAAGGCCCCTGTGACCTTGACCTTTGAATTGGTGACCTCAAAATCAATAGGGGTCATCTACTAATCATGACTAACCTCCATGCCAAATATGAAGACTGCAGGTCAAAGGAATCTTAAGTTATTGGGCTGACAAGCTTTTTGAAGTCAAGGCCCCTGTGACCTTGACCTTTGACCCAGTGACCTCAAAATCAATAGGGGTTATCTACTAATCATGACTAACCTGCATGCCAAATATGAAGACTGTAGGTCAAAGGAATCTTAATTTATTTGGCGGACAAGCTTTTTGAAGTCAAGGCCCCTGTGACCTTGACCTTTGACCTAGTGACCTCAAAATCAATAGGGGTCATCTACTAATCATGACTAACCTCCATGCCAAATATGAAGACTAAGGGTCAAAGGAATCTTAAGTTATTGGGCGGACAAGCTTTTTGAAGTCAAGGCCCCTGTGACCTTAACCTTTGACCTAGTGACCTCAAAATCAATAGGGGTCATCTTCTAATCATGACTAACCTCCATGCCAAATATGACGACTGTAGGTCAAAGGAATCTTAAGTTATTGGGCGGACAAGCTTTTTGAAGTCAAGGCCCCTGTGACCTTGACCTTTGACCTAGTGACCTCAAAATCAATAGGGGTCATCTACTAATCATGACTAACCTCCATGCCAAATATGAAGACTAAGGGTCAAAGGAATCTTAAGTTATTGGGCGGACAAGAAAAAACCGACGGCCGGACGGACGGCCGGACGGCCGGACGGACGGACAAGCTGATTCCAGTATACCCCCCTTACAACTTTGTTGTGCGGGGGTATAAAAATAAATAAAACATGTCTGCTACCTATCAGTTTAAAGAGATTTTAAAAAAAGATTAAAGAAGTGGAATATTTCCTTTTTACTTCAAAGAAAACTAACTGTATGTTTAAATGACATTGGCACCAGAATTTCTTTTAATACACTGATTCAACATTGACTTACTTTAAGTGCTACTAGAAGAGTTACAGTTTCTACGGAGTAATAACCTCTATCTACATAATCTCCCATGAACAGGTAGTTTGTGTCAGGCGAATTTCCACCAATTTTGAATAACTCCATAAGGTCATGGAACTGACCGTGCACATCTCCACTCACAGTTACAGGACATTTCACTTCTTGTACATTTGATTCTTTGGATAATATTTCTTTAGCCTGGAGAAAAAAACAACATAAGAAACTGTAATTTTAAATGTTTGTATTGTTGTATCCTTGAAACTCAATGCTCAATTATTGATATGTTGTTTTTTATTAATTTTGAATATGGATTCAAATTAAGAGCTACAAAGCGATAAAGAAATAAAATTAATGAAAATTCTAAATTTCAAGACATATTTGCATTCTTTTAGCTACTAAAATTCTTTGATTGCCAGAAAATAGTCATAACATTTAAAGTTGTTTTTCGATGTTGTTGGGATGTCATTTTGGTCATTTATTTATACAGGCCCTTTCTCTAGTTTTTATCTCTCAGTAACTGGGTGCATTCCAAATACCAATTTCCAAAACATGTTTTTCTGTCAATTTTTTTTTGTCAAAATCCATGCTAAAGTTAGAGGCCTTGGATAGTGGCCTATTATGTTCTCAATTAAGTGTGTGAAGTTACAAGCAAATATCATTAGTGGTTGATGAGATATGATGTTGCATGCTAAACTTTAAGCAGATTGTAATACCGACTCAAAAGCCTTGGTGTGTAGGATATCCCTATTATTCTTTGAACAATCCAGCAAAATTTGAAAAGCTGTCTGTAACACAGTGCAGTTGATTATCCTTAGTACTTAATACCGTTATAGTAGTAAGAAAAGGGCATAACTCTGTGAAAAATTAACTTAACTGAGAGTAATGGGGCCTGTGCCCATCAATCACACAGAGCAAATGTGTGAAGTTTTAAACCATTCCCTTTGGTAGTTTTGGATATGTCAACTTGCACACATAAACTGAACTGAAGTGCGACAGCAATGCCAACACTGTCATGAGTACAATAGCTCGTCAATTCTTTAGACTGTATACCAACATTTCCTTTGATTAAAATGATGCAGTGGAACAGCAAGGCATTTTGCAGATCTAACATTTTGTTTATATAAAATTATAAGTGAGACTGTTTATAAAATGATGTGTGCTGATTTCTTTTATATAGCCAAAAGTACTTTTGTTTAAAAGTCCCTTCAATTACCAGACTGAAAACTAGAAATTGAATAGTCATTTAGTGTAATCAAACTGAAGCCATGTATTAGGATATATTCAAACTTCAGCAAATTATAAACATTATAATTATATATCTAAGCCCGATTTTGGAAACTGCTGGTAAAAATTAACAAAGTTTATTCTTAATTATTTTCCTATGTTGTGAGGCATCATGATAGTCAAACCATGTCAACAAATATGGTATTGAAACAAGGGCATAATGACTCTATATGAGGGTCACCCAAGGATATTGTTTTTATACCTTTTTGATATATACAAAATTTTCTAGCGATGACAGAACTTGTAATATACACTCTATCATGTATGGTATATATTATTTATTGTCGCCATTCATGGATGGCAACATATAGTGATGTACAGCAAACAAGATTTGACCATTTCTAGTTCTACCAATAAACTGTCTGCCCTAAGCCAGTCAGACAAGACAAGTTGAAACCACTTGACGACATTATTGACGACACAAGAAAAGGAGTACACCATCTGCCTTTTTTCTTGGGTTACCTTTATTCTATTAAGAATTGAACTACAATCTTCATGTATGAAAATTATGTCGGAATCAGTTTGTTACTGCATAGGCTCTGGTTAATCACTATTTCAAATATTTCTCCTAAAAGACACATTAAGCAGGGTTCTCGGGGACGCTTATTTCGGCGTCCCGGTACGCATATTTATTACAGCTGGACGCAAATGTTTCAGAGCAAGGATTCCACGTACGCTTAATTTTGCCTGGGGACGCATAAACATTACCGATTGTTTACAAGCGCAAATACACAAATGCGTCAGCGCGTGTCAGTCTATAGGTAGGCGGTCCTATGCACATCGACCCGTGAAGCGATTAGCCAATCAGCGATAACGCTTCCGATCATTATCACGCAATAGTGATCAGACTAATGTATACACGCGCTGTATAGTACATGTAATTACCAGATATAATACGAGGTGATAATTTTATTTCTTTGATCAACAGTTGATTGGAAATTAGCAAATTTTACCGACAAAAGGATAAAATTATCGACTATTTACGCCGCAAGTTTAAAGACTGTTTTCTCAAATTACAAATGAGTGTAATTTTGAATGATTGTCGAATATTTTCGGCATTTTCTATGCACAATTTTGCTTTAGTTTCATTCTTGCAAAAACTTTTTATAAGAGTATTAAGTAGGGTTTCTTAATCGGACAAAAATCATAATCGATCATCGAAAATAATCGAACAACCTTTTTCGATCAATCTTCGATTATATAATCGAAACATTTATGATAACAAAGTAAATATGTACAATGCACATATCATGCTTTAATATTTATAAGAAATCCATTAATATTTTATATTTTGTGTAACTACCACTTAATCAACTGAAATAAACTAGTTACTCATGCTTATGTTCATCCTGGAGTAAAATATTTTAATCAAATAAATTCATTATATCTATGAAATTATTATGTCTCAATTCCAATAAAGGAATGAATAAGCTATGTATGGGAACAAGAGAACTTAGAAGTTGGTCATTAATAAAAATGCCAGGTTTTTTAATGACACTATATATTTATATTGTAACCATCTTTAGATTAGTGTGTAGAATAATTTTATACATATCTTCTTTGTTTGAAGTAAAAACATGTTTATTTAATATTTACAAATAGACTGTGTAGCAATTTTCTAATTTCAAATTTGAGCATAGTATGTCTGTAAACTAGAATGCCTCACTGTCAACTATTAACCTCATGGTCACCAGTATGCTTTCTCATTCATTTTAATGAAAATTATTGGGTAAACCAAAGCTCAGGCTTTAATTTAAAGTGTTGTTATAATACAGTGAGTCACTTAAGTAACAGCAAGAAGATAAATAACCGATGATCGATTATTGAACTTTGTATTCGATCATCGCTAATCGATCCTATAAACGATCAATTTTCGATTATACTCGATCATCGTTTAATCCCTAGTATTAAGAATTTAAGATATTGTGCCGAAATGCCAGGACAACAAACCAAAATACACATACGCTTTTCGTTGATATTTAGATTCTATTCGAAAATTGGTCCCGAACATCGGCGATTTCACGTTCGCCAGAAACCCTAAAAATTCGCAAAAATTCTCGGTTTCCAAGCCAAACATGCGAATGAATTGTTCCTTTAATATTTAATCAACATTAAATCTTTAAATATCGATCTTCAATTTGCCCCCTTTTAAAGATATTTGCTAAAATAATTGTCGATCGGATGAATCTCTTACACACTGTGTGAAGCTGTACACGATTTTCCTATTCATTCCGCTAAACGCTGCCTATATACATTTACGTTTTTTTTACAAATATAAACTTTTTGTCTTTAGAGTGGACTTATTTAACCAGAATAAAATTTGATTTGGTATAAATGTGGAGAAAAAAAAACACACAAAAAAAACGATTTCCATGAATTGTGTTGATGCATTATAATGAAATAATTTCATATTAAATATTAACAACAAAACAATAATTAAAAGTTTTTTTTGAATAACTATAAACTTTGAAAGTCTCTTGAAGATTCAAAATATCAGCAATGCTATTGTGAGCATTGAATGACTAATCTATAAACATATTTATTGCGACGCGCTTTTGGACTCCAACTTTTTCAGGGTTGGGAGTCCATGGACTCCATGTTTTAAAGTCCTAGTGAGAACCCTGATTAAGGTTATTTTAATGGGAATGGGCAATTCCTAGCAGTTTTTGAAATGCTGATTCATTTTGACTCTATAGACTACTGTTGAGTACTGTAGGCTGTAGCTGTAGCCTATACATGTGACTATTCTTTCATGTGAAGGACACCGTCAGTGAGACTTCCAATCCTTATAAAAGCTGTAAATTTTATACAAATGGGTAGGCTATAGAATAACCCATGGCATTGACATGCGTTATAAGTGTTATATAAACTACAAATAGGATACCTTTTCACATAAAGTTTTCACTTGATTTTCTGAAAGTTGCTTGCATTCGTTCAGTTGTTCTATCCACTGGTCGAGTTCTTTTGCCGCAGTCCTTTCTTCATTCATTTTTGTCGCGTGATGTGGATATTATCTACAAATATTAAACATTTAAATGTTCACCAAATGTCCAAGAAAGGCGTTAAATCACTAGTAACTATGATACGGTTTAAAAAATTATACGGTTCGCAACAAAATGGCCGACAAAACTTGAATATGACGTCACGAAATTTGCTAAGACTTGCTCTCACAAACTGCAAACATTAAAAACAAAATAAACAGCTTATTCTGGTCACTTTATATGCGTACATATTAACATCACAATCGTGATAAGAATTTTAAAACATGCAACTAAAATAGAACATGTATCATAAAGTTGAGTCAGATATTTCTATCCTCACCCGGTAGAAAATAAACAGCGACCTCTAGTGGAATATTTAATTTCTCTGGCTATTGATACGGAATCGGGTAAAATAGAGACGTCGGGTATGTTATCGTAAATTTCAAACTCCTTGCAGCGGTTACTTCCCTTGATCACTACAGTCACCGGGGGAAACATATTCCATATTGAAAATGTGTTTGGATGTACGTGTATGATTGCTAGTGTACACGCCCCCTAGCGCTGGCTGTTAAAGCAGAATTCAACATATAACTTGAAATGGTAAATTTTTGAATGTGTTCGATGGCCCGACCCACCCAGTTACATGCCAGTGAAGAGGCACATTAAGCGTCTGTACATAATACTGAGTAAATTAGCCTAAGAACTCTTAAATAAGTAGATCGAAATAGGGTGCATAGAAAAACCGGAAAGCACCGGATAGCACCAAAAAACCGGAAAGCACTCAATTTTCTCATAAAAACATATGAAAACTTTAATTTATCGGTTTGAAAGTGTTACCAATCGATTTCTTAGATCAAAATCTTACGGACAAGTCATTTTTATAAAAATATATTGATAATTATTACGAGTATTTAGGAAAATAGATATATCGAGTGCTTTCCGGTCCTGTGAAGTTACATATACTTTACCGAATAGCAATATATTTTCTCAAACAATCACATAAGATCTTTGTTTTATTGTATTGTTAATGTTACCCATCGATTTATTAGGTATGATACAGTATTATTTCATGTTTTATTCTAAATTCTATGATTATTTAAAAGATTTATGAATGTTAAAGAAATTGAGAATGCTTTCCGGTTTTGTTAAGTATATGTACATCACCGAATAGCACTCGAATTTTCCATAAAAAAAACGTATAACCTTCATTTTATTGAATTGAAAACGTTACCAATCGATTTATTAGGAAAAAATCTCCCTGACATTATTTTTTTATAATTATTATTACGAATAAAAAAGATTAAAATATATATTAAAATAGATATATCGAGTGCTTTCCGGTCCTGCACATTCTATTATTGCCTTCCGGTCCTGTGAAGAAAATAATAGTAATACATCACCGAAAAGCACTGGTCCTCTTACCTCAGACATACCGATGGTATGTAAATATTAAAAATGTATGTACCTTGTCTAATATATTAATATATTTATTTGTTGTAGGCTATGTGGAAGACAAGAGGATTCAAAATAGCAGGAAGAGAAGAACAATAATTGTTTCAGTGATTTCTTTTATTTTTGACAATAAACAGTGCAATAAATAAAAATAAACGAAACTAATTACTAAGAACAAAATAAACAGATATAAAACAGAACTTAGCAAACATATATACATACATAATTGAAAAATAAATATGATATTGAAATCAATCAAGGCACACTTCACGCCTCGTTTATTCCACGGGCACACGCTGATAAAATTGAACGGACACACGCTGATTAAATTATCACATTTATACAGGTGTTAATATATTTACACAATAGCTGGATGTATTTAACTGATTGATTA